CGATAAAGGCAAAAATGCACTCAAGCCGCCAATAAAATTTGTGCAGTTTATGGACCCGATACAGTTTCCATTTCCACCGCACAACGATGGCTTCAATGTTTTCATTCTGGTGTAGAGGTGGTCGAAGATGCGCCACGCTCCGGAAGGCCTGTCATCGAAAATTGCGATAAAATCGCTGAATTGGTCGAAAGAGATCGGCATAGTAGCAGCCGTAGCATCGGTCAAGAGCTGGGCATGAGTCATAAAACAAAATTTTATGAACAAATGAAAATTCAATAAAAAATACCGCAAGACTTTTTTGATAACCTATTATAGAAATATATAGTTAAATTGGAAATTAAAATTTTTTATTGACTTCATAAATCACTTAAGGAATAGTACATATATAAATACTTATGATGTAAGTATATTTTCACAAATATCTTACCACTTGAAAAAATAATACTTAAAATACATATGTCACAGTCTCTGCAAAATTCGACGTCGTATATCGGTATACATAAAAAAATGTTTTTTGTTAAAGTGTATAAGTTGAAGAGGACACGGCTATGGTAATACTTTGTTTAACATTCCCCGAATGTAATTGTAAAATCGACAGCTAAAACCCAGACACAAACATCAGAAAACACAAACTTGATCGTTGCCGTTGAAATAGTGCTTCAGGTATATTTGTGTAATCTCAAATTAGTCAATTAAATATTTTCTTGTTCAGGAACAACTATCAGTATAATCCCTATCCATAAGTATGTACTATACGTGTGTTCAAAAAGTATCGCGAATTTTGAATTTTCGCGGGTTACGTATATTCGAATTTCGAATTTTTTGTGGCGTTATGTTGGCACTCATGTCTCTCACTTATGCCGACAAGCTCGGCCATTTTGAATGTTCATTTAATTGTTGACAGCTACTTTGCTTGCACGTGTTTTGGATCGTCTTCGGTTTTTACCTATTCAAAAAAATGGATCAAAGAACCTGTATCAAATTTTGTGTGCAAAACGATATTAAGTGCGCGGATGCATTCCGAATGTTGACTGTGGCATACAGAGAAGCTACCTTGGACCGAAGCAACGTTTATCGGTGGTAAAGAATGTTTTCAGAAGGCCGAGAAGATGTGACAAAATTGGCTTTTGCACCACGATAACGCCCCTGCTCACACATCGTTACTTGTGCGCAACTTTTTGGCCAAAAACAACACACTATTGATGCCGCAGCCACCGTATTCCCCCTGTGAGTTTTTCTTGTTCCCTAACCTGAAAAGGCCCCTGAAAGGACGACGTTACGCTTCTCTTGACGAGATAAAGACGGCAGCGAAGGAGGAGCTGAAGAAGATAAAAAAAAAAATTATTTTTTGAAGTGCTTCGAAGATTTGAAAAACCGTTGGCACAAGTGTATAATATCTCATGGAGATTACTTTGAAGAGGACAAAATAGATATTCATGAATAAATAAATAATTTTTGAAAAATCACAAAATTCGCGATACTTTTTGAACACACCTCGTACATGTATATAGTACATAGTATGTGCATAAGTAAACAAAAATTTCTATACCCTGCCAGTAGCTGTGTGATGTTATTTTGTGTGTGTTTTTTTTTTTTTTTTTTTTTTTTTTTTTTTTTTTTTTTTTTTTTTTTTTTTTTTTTTTTTTTTTTTTTTTTTTTTTTTTTTTTGAAGTATTCAAATGATTCCTCCATGACTATTAAACACATCTTAAGTTTTGAAATACAGTTTTTTTATTTATGAATTGTTGTGACTTTGAACATAAAACGAGGTTCCTCATTACCACGTTTAAGCCAAATCGGTTCAGGTGTTCTTAATCAATCAATTTACTTTATTCAAAATAATTTTTACACGGTCCAAAAGCATGTCTAACGAGTGATTTAACTCGTTGGCCGGTATGGCCTCCAGTATGCCGGTGCAAGTCTGTTGAATGGCCTCTACGTCTGAAAACGCTTTCCTTTCATGGGCAAATGCATTTTTTCGAAAAGGAAGAAGTCGCACGACGCAAAGTGCCACTGGGAGTGGTTAATGGTTAAAATGTGATTTTTGGTCAAATAATCAGTCACAAGCGTCGATCGAACGTTGGACTCTGAGCAATTTTTGGGCGTCAGTCAATTTGTGCGCAATAAGCCGAGCGCACACCTTTCGTAAGCCAAAATGTTGGATCAAAATGGAATAAATCGATGTTTTGAAGATATTTAATTCCTTTTCCATGAATTTCAATGGTGATTTCGGCTGATTTTTTATGATTTCACTCACAGTTTCGATGGAACTTCCGGTAATCACGGATTTTGATTGGCCCACATGTTGATCGTCATTTATATCCTCATGACCACTTTGAAAAATGAAACCACTCGTGCAACTTTGTTCAGCTACGGGATAGAGAATCATCGCCATAAACTTGTTTTATCAATTAATTATTATCAATTTAAACGTTTCGGTAAAAGTTTTAACAATTTTAAAACTAAATTTAATATTGGCCCTTTGTTCGAAGCTCATTTTCTCACCGATAACACAAACATACTAAACACCTAAAACGCAATAACTTCACTTCCAATCGATGAAATGTCATAAAACACTCACTGGCGCCCCCTATTGATTAAAAAAGTCCTGTTTACTTTGGAACCCACTTTGTAGATATATATGTACATAATTTGCGAAATCGAGGGTGAGTTTGTAAAAAAGGCACCGCTAGGACCTTCTCCAGAACTATACCCGTGCAAATTTTGATATATTTCGTGCTGCGGTTTATACGTTTTACGCGGACATATCAAAACAGCGTTTTACATAAAATACTTAACTTTTGGAATGACCTTTTTTTTGTGCGAATAAAGTCAAACCAAATCAAATATTTCATTAAAGCTGTTTTTACAATAATTAATATAAAATAAATATAAGCAAACAATGCCTATGGTATATATGGCTATTGTAATAAAAATAATGAATGTAAGAAGATTTCTTATACCCATGACAGACAGACAATCCACATATGGTACAAATACCATATGCGTGTAACCAAATACTAGCAAAATACCATATTAGCAATGTACTATACCATATTACCAATGTAGTATTTTGCTGGTAATAATACTATGATATTTCATTGTGGTATTTCAATAAGCACAGCTAAAAAAAAGGTCATAAACTTTGATAAAAGCTTTTAAATTTGGTTAGGATTTAGGTTAAATAATTTAACAAAAAGATAAGTATGTAAGAACCAATCCATTTATGAAAGTATTCCTTTTTAATTCTTGTAAATCTAATATTCTACAACGAGGTACATACGGTTTTGGGCTGTTTTAAATGGAACAATTTTTTTGTGTGTTGGACGAAAGTTTATTTTACGACATGTAATTCATTATTTAAAAATACGTATTTATTAACATCATTTGTTTTTTTTTAGAGCCGAATTGTGAAGAATGTTTAATTGATTCTGAATTTGATGCAATGGAGGTATTGTTAATATTAATCGTTCGCTGAAGTACAGGTACCAATTCCAGAAATACACGAAAACGGAAACGCCCGATGATAATTTTTTCGAATTAATAAAAGATAAACAGAAAATGATGTAGAAGTATTTAGATAAATCATTGAAAAGGAGAAAAAATTGTAATTTTACTAGAGGAAAACAATGCATTGTTTTCTGCGTTAATAAATAAATAAAGACATTGTATTAATTTTTACATTTGTATGGCACTTGAAAACGATTATACCAGCGGATAGTAAAATTAGTCATTGATGCTTTTCTTATAGCAATTCCACTGTTGTTTGTATCTCTTACGGAAATGCTTCTTTGGGGCTGATGCCTTGTACTTTGGATGTCTGACTGCTGAATCCAACACAGATTGATGTTATCATTTCTGTTGTTTCAAATATTATGCATATTACAACATGCTTTTCCCAATTTTGCGAAATCGCGGTGCTTTCAGATGACCGATTGCGTTTTCAGCAACATGGTGCCAAGAAGATAATTCTTTGTTGAATATTTTTTCTCCTTCTATTTGTTTAACTGAAAACGAAAACATTTTCATTACGTATGGCGAAAGTTTAAACGCTGATTCCGCAAGAGGTGAAATCGCCACTTTTACGCCTTCGATGTATTTGAAATGTTTCAATAAATATAAATGCTCTTCCATGATTCAATAATGGAAGAATCGTTACAATTTCCAGGTACTAACATGTTTATATAGGTAAACCTATAACGATAGTCTACAGTAGCAAAGAGAATTGTTAAATAATATCCTTTAAAATTGAAATGATCTGAAGCTTCATATTTGGAAGATTTTAATTCAATGTGACATCCATCAATCGCTCCATAGCATTAAGGATACGCCTCCAACATTATTGATTGGAAAACGGTACAAATTTCTCTACACTCCTCAAGAACTATTTCTAATATTATTGTTCTACCAATACCAAATAGGCTTGCCACTGTTCTATACTCTGCTGATGAAGCTAATGAATAAAGCCCAATAGCAATTCGCTTTTCCAACGAAATAGCATTCCGCCAACGGGTGTCCGCTCTCTGTAAATTCTTCAATCGATCAACCAAATATTGAAAAGTGGAACGATCGATTTGGAAAGCGTTTTTGAACTTATCTTTCTTAAAAGTAGGGACACCATTCTCCCAGAAACTTGATTTTTCAACCTGTGAAACACTGGAGTTATGTTCAAACATCTTGTATGACTTACATATGTCCAGAACCCCTTATATTTGTCCATGTTTTTTTTTAGGAATGCCAGGGTAAATTTTTGCATTATTTACAAGAATAACACTTATTTTCTCCATTGCTCGTATATATTCATTGCTTACATTTTTTTTTAAATATTTAATGCCTATGAAACAATGCTAGTATTTGAGTTTACTACATTGCCATGTGTGTCATCGACGTAGTAAACAGAATACAATGATACCTTTACCATGGTATCGTATTGAAATTAAAAAGCCGTTTCAACGTAGTTATAATAGAGAACTGAACTAAGTATTAAACATAAAACTTACCGTGTATAACTTCGCCAAAGAGGTCGAAGCTTCTCCTGTCCACCTACATCCCACACAAGAAATTGTATTCCTTTTGCTTTACCAAGTATACCTTGCACCTGTAAAAATATATATGTTCTAGGTTTAGTGACAAGACTAATCCTAGTGATGTAAAGTACTATTATTATAACTTAAAATTTTTTAGCAGTTATATGTTTAAATATCTCAATAATGTTATGTCAAAATTCAAGTCCATCATGTTATATGGACGTTCACCATCGGATTTCAAAGATTAACAAGTAAGGAAGCGCTAAGATCGGGTGTCACCGAACATTTTATACTCTCGCATGATAAAGTGATAATCGAGATTTCAGGCGTGGTTTTGAACCGAATTTACCCATATTTAGTACTTGTCATCAGGGTGTTAAGAAAATCTTATATACCGAATTTCATTGAAATCGGTCGAGTACTTCCTGAGATATGGTTTTTGGTCCATAAGTGGGCGAATCCACGTCCGTTTTCAATTTAAAAAAAATCCTGTATGCAGCTTCCTTCTGACATTTCCTCCGTAAAATTTAGTGTTTCTGACGTTTTTTGTTAGTCGGTTAACGCAGTTTTACTGATTTTCAACATAACCTTTGTATGGGAGGTGGGTGTGGTTATTATCCGATTTCTTCCATTTTTGAACTGTATATGGAAATGCCTAAAAGAAACGACTCTAYACAGTTTGGTTGACATAGCTAYAGTAGTTTTYGAGATATGTACAAAAAAGTTWRTAGRGGGCGGGGCCACGCYMACTTTTCCAAAAAAATTACGTCCAAATATGCCCCTCCCTAATGCGATCCTTTGTGCCAAATTTCATTTTAATATCTTTATTTATGGCTTAGTTATGACACTTTATATATTTTCGGTTTCCGCCATTTTGTGTACCAAGTTTCATCATGATATCTCAATTTTTACTCAAGTTACAGCTTGCACGGATGGACGGACAGACGGACGGACGGGCAGACAGACATCCGATTTCTACTCTACCCGTCACCCTGATCACTTTGGTATATATAACCCTATATCTGACTCTTTTAGTTTTAGGACTTACAAACAACCGTTATGTGAACAAAACTATAATACTCTCTTTAGCAACTTTGTTGCGAGAGTATAAAAAAGCGCGGAAGGATTGGAAAATGTCACGAGCATGCTTAACGCGCTGTACATAGCAGGCCGGAGAGCAGGCCACATATGAATTAGGATTCACGAATGGTTTAAGTCTAATGAATCTAATTAGACATGCAAATCAGGATGAATCTAAGTCTAAACCCAAAATAGATCTATAAATGGATCCTTGAAAAGTATTCCAATTCGGCGATATACCTGATAGTGATGTAATTTTGCTGAGTATAGACCAAGATTTTGGCACATTTCTTTTATATGTATGTAGAAAAATGCACTTGTAGTCCTACAGGGGCACTTTCAAAGTCAGACATCGTTCTCCAATGACAACGATATCAAAACGTCAGCAGTGCTCAAGTTGACTCTTTTTTTTAAGAGGATAAACTCCTAAAAGCCGAAGTAAATTATGTAATCCCCTCAGATTAACTGTCACCAAGCAGTGTCTGTATAGTTGGCAATGCTTCCATTTCCTAATAGTCGATGGATAGACCGACAGTAGCCGAGGGTAATCTTAATACGATATTAACCAGTATGCTACAATAGACAACTCATGAACCCTGCGGAATATGGTACTCATCACCAAATCATTTGTTTTATCCCGCAATGAAGTATCATATTTTCTGGGGAGAAAATTTTCTTAAGGAACAAAATCATAAATTCCATAAATGTTGTCCCCTTGCACAAATCCGAATAAAAATTCTGTACAATGGAGTCGCAGTTTTGGGATAGCACAATCCAATTGTTCATCGACATCAGAAGGCACTGATACGCTCATAGTGAGTCCGCTTGGATGTCTTTCCGTACCAATATATAGTTCACAGAAAATTCGAATTAACGTATTGACATCATGATTTTACTAGATTGATATTTGTTAAATTAGTTGATTAAATTTAAAACAGTTTTCGAATTCTCAACTTTTAACAACTGAGCGGTTAGACACTCTTTTGATAATATTAAGACATCAACAGACACTGTAAATTCTTGAAAAATTCATAATGTTTAAATAGCAACAATTTGAATATGAATTACGGTAAATTATTATTAGTATTGATGAACGAGCTGTACAATATCTTACCTCTGGTGGGAGACAATACTTAACAGACCGAAATCTAGTGAGAACCATTTCGTTCTGGTTTAATTTTTTTCATTACTTGTATACTATTTTTGATGATTGCTATGAAATGAGTGTTAAGATACAAATAGATTTGTGGGGAACACTTTTTGTGAACGAGCCTTAGTTAGGCATGACACATATTCACATTTGCGACGTTGACATGTTGACATATCACATAACGGTTCACGATGATTATGGAAGGTGCATGTTTTATTAATGACCAGCTTTGCGGCGCGGTGTTACCCGCGGAAAATAAATTGTGTATTAATAGTACAATAATGGCTATTCACAATTTCATAAGCAAAATAAATTAAATTTGAGCATCGAAAAGATCAATTTACAAAATTTGTTGAATGTTTTTTTGCTTCGCATCGTAGAGGGCTAGAAATCATTTTACTGCAGCACATCACGGTAAACAACAATGCGGAACTTATTGTTTTCTACGTAAATAAAAAAGATGTCTATCGACACACACGAGCAACTTACATACAGTTGTCCGTCGGATAAGCAAGGGGTACCCAGGTGAATACCGGATACTTTAAGAGTTTGTTCTTGACTTTTATTTATTGTTATATAGAAAGCCACGTTCAAAGGAAACTGTAGGCGTTTTCGGGTGCCTTTATACCTTTTTCATCAACCACTTCTCGTTAGCCAGTTTTTTTTTTTCTAATTTCGGACAACTAAAAATTAATAAGGTTATCTTCCGAGCTGACAACATTGCTAAATAGGCTGTCAAAGAGTATTTGGACTTGCTTAATGCTTGAAAATTTCTCAAGCGTTTTTGAGAATTAAAATTTGGTGGGATGCGTGATTTCACTTTTTAATATATAATATTTTTTTGTGATTGCATTGTCTACAACTTTGCCTCCGCCCTTTTTTTTTTTTTTTTTTTATTTTAGGCTCTCTTGTATAAAAACGGTTCAAAAGTTTTTTCGCTTATTCCCGAAATGCTTTATGGTCCATTTTTTGGCAAACTAACACTCTTTACTAACACTGCTTCACAAAAATTCTATATTTTTTTAATATCTAATAAAATTCATATAGATGGTAGTAGTAGAGTATAGTGACATTTTCAGTTGAGAATAAGTTTGGGATGCAAACAGATCTCTACAAATATTTTGTTGGGTTAATGTTGACACAAATGTCCAAGATCGATATAAAACGATTTAATCGACCAGTGGTGGTGGTATAAAGCCGAAGCTGATTCCTTCTTCGGCGGCGGTGAACCCCATTAGTTCTGGGGCTTGCGCTAGAAAGGCCTCCTTCAGCTCGCGCAGCTTGAGGTCGGCGCCGACAAAGTTGGCTACGTTGTCGCTGAATATTTTCTGTGGCATCCCTCGGCGACCAATGAACCTTTTAAGTCCGAAAATAAAAGAATTAGTAGATAGGTCCGAGACGAGTTCTAAATGTAATGCTTTTGAAGTAAAGCAACCAAAAACTGCTACATAAGGTTTTACGGGTGGTCGACCACGCATTTTTAAAATTGTATATATGGGACCACAAAAATTTAAGTCACATATAAGAAAAGGTCGTACGCTCGAATTCTTTCAACTGGCAAATTTCCCATTATTTGGGTTTGCAACTTCGGCTTGTAATGAAAGCAATGTGTACAGTCTCTTACGGTTTTACTGCAAGCTTCTTAGCCATTAACTAGCCATATGCGTTTTCGAAGAAGCGCTTTTGTCCCAGCGTGGTGATATCGAAAGCGCAGGAATCGTAAGTAAGTGATAACGAAATGCGAATTTTTATTTAATAATAAAATTTGGCATCATATGGGAGAGGTGCGAACTTCTACTCGGATTTTTTTTTTATGAAAGCGAATTATCCGAGTACTCATGCAAAAACAGATTGAGTTTTTGCAAGTTTTCGGGTAGCGTCGTACCTTTAGTTAGTTTTTGGATTTCACTCGCAAACTCAGAATGTTGAATCACCTGGACAATTTAAAAAAAACTCAAGTTTAATTCGTCTGCAGTCAAAGCTCTTCCCACAGTAGCATTTGTAGTCGTCTGATCCATCATAATAAATATGCAACCACACGAAGCAACTTTGATGAGAAGAGAATTTTTCAATCAGTTCCATTATAGGGTTATATTTCACATTTGCAGAAAATGTGACAACGTTTTTCTTCTTCTCTAAGGATTCGCATTCTGGGGAGAGCTTGAAGTTAGTGTTAATTGGCTATAAAGCGGGGTCTTTTAGGAGAAATTATTCAATTCGTCCACATGTATATATTTTTTTCACAGATTTTACTTCACGCACTATATATGTAGATATATATTTTTGTTTTGGAGGTTTTCACTATACCCACTTCACAGATTTGGATTTTTAATCCTTTTTTAACTTAGTTTTCTTAACTTGTTTTTTGTTTCGATCACTATCGCTAAACCGTGAAAACCGAAAATGATAACTTTGGCCATTGGTTGCGACATGAATTCTGTGCACTTATGTATACACTTTTCTGTAAGCTACTTTTAAATTAAAATTGCGAATCACGATCATTTTCACTTTCACTTTTTAATATTTTTTTTGATTGTATTAGCATAGAAATTAGCCAATTGCCTGTACCGAGAATCACTTTTCCGAAAATTGCCACGGCGAAATAGCTACAAAAGAGAAACGCGTGAGAATTCGTTTGCGGTCTAAAAACGAATAAATTCTTTATTCCAGCTCATATTTCACTTATCCTATAACTTAGGCAAACGGGATAAAACACCTGGAATTTAATTATACAGGTATGTACAAAAAAGAGGTGAGTAATTCATTTTGTTAACTTATTATAATAGGTTAAGGTAAGTATGTTTAATATTATTAGGGTGAGTAAATAAAAAGAACACTTTA